AGAGAGAGAGAGAGAGAGAGAGAGAGAGAGAGAGAGAGAGAATAGACAGAAAGACAAAGAGACAGAGAGAGCTAGAGACTTGCTACAGAAGGAAAGACAATATACATTTAACATTAACTTATGCTACAATATAAAATAATCAAAATAAGTTCAATAGCAGCTCCATAAATGCGTCTTAAAAGAGAATGCCATTTAAAATGTAATATCATCCAATTCAAGGCGCGTTTTAAGAACCTTCAAGATGAATTAGCAAGAAAATGACAAGAGGTTTTGGATGGATTAACATCTACATTGAAACACATTAGCAGTTGTTTTTAATCACAAGAGAATACAATGATATTGAAACCATAGTAAAAGGCTCAAGGTGTTCGACCACAAAAGAAAAAGAAAATTAATGTTCAGCAATKCCGATACTGCRGCCCTCGATGCGACTTTGAATATAWTCAAAAAATAGTATTCGSTTTGAACGCTTGAATTTTTAACGATTCGGTTATTCTCGTGAGCCGCTATCAAAAAAATATTTTCTTGAAGTTAAATTTCTTATGCTATACGCTCGAATCGACATATTTTATACCCCATATATCGTAGAGTGACCACAGTAAACCCGTGAAACTTTAGTAATACTAAATAGCACAATTTCATGCAAATTCCATTGTTTTCTATTGTTTAATTAGCACTATTTTGTACTATTTAGTAATTAGTGTTTCACGGATTTACTGTGGTCACTCTAACGCTTTTATATGTTATTTATGAGTATCTATGTTATACACCTATTTCAAGAAACGTTGTCATCGCCAAAGGAGATATGCAATAAGCGATAGACGAAAAGCGATAGGAGATTTGTCATTCCAAGACCCAAGAATAGCTTGAATGACTTGTGTTTCTGCTTCTTATTCTTATCAAGAACATGGACCTTAGTGTTGAGACTGATTCAATGTTCTTTGTATTCAACGAAACCATTTCCATGTCGGAATGACCTATCTCCTATTTCCTATTGAAATAAACTGTTTAAAACAACGCGATTAACACCGTTCTTCACCTATTCGATAACGAGTAATTATGATATTCTGTAATCAATGTATATTATGATGCTAAATGACCTTCGATAATCGTATACATCTTAATATAAGGGTAATGAAATAAGAGACCAAGCTGTCACAACGACGTGAATATATTCCCATTAGTTTGTGTATTCATTCACTGGAAGCAATAACGAACATATGGACAGACTAGCATGTCGTCTTTGCGTCACACTGTTTGCGATAGATAGATCTCAAATTAAACGGCTGTCATGTTCTTATGAAATCATACATCAATATTCATCATCGAGGCATTTGGCTCATTTTGATGATTTAAATGTGCCTCGGAGAAGAAAGAAA